TTCCTTACTGCATGTACACTCATCCAGAGGCCATTCTACAAAGGCTAGCATAAAAGAAAATCTTAAGAAGTCGATCACCCCCGATCGACAAATAAAAGAAAGCTGTTGTAATACCCAAAACACCACAGGCCCACAAAATAAAGCACAAGTGATCCCCTATGATCACCACCCAACCAACCCATATTCTCAGAAAATTGTAGCACAACACAGCACAGCTCACGCAATCCCCAAAGATTGCCGCCAAGAGTTAATAAGCTACAAGCCGGATAAGCAACCCACCTGAGCAAACTCGGCGCATGTTACATCGCCAAAGAAAATGAAGTTCTCCCAACTGCAATAGTGACAATAGAGCGTCGAGGAGAACAGTTTCAACTCAGAGCACTGCTTGATCAAGGCTCCCAAAAAACCTTTATTTCGTCAGTAGATCAAAAGAGGTTGAAGCTCCCAACCGAACACTCACAGTTCAAAGTATTTAGTATTGATTCAAAAAACACTAAAAACGTATGTAAACTCAATATAATTACCCGCAAGTCAAAGCGGAAGATAAATACAAAAGCTGTCATACTCAAGGAAATAACGGAGCACTTAGCGACTTCCCCCGTAAGTCGTGAATTTGTCAAACATTCCCATGAGCTAGCTGACCCCCATTTCAGCAAACCAGCACCCATAGATCTGGTTATTGGAAGCGACATACTTCCACAAATTCTCCACCCCCCGAGCCCGAAAAATACAAGATAATGTAATAGCGCAAGAAACTATATTTGGTTGGGTAATAAGCGGTTCCGCCGCAAAACTATGAAAATAGAGGGCAATAAATAACATCCCATTGCCATAAGCTCTAACCCATGAGCACCCTGTAAAGCGCAAAACTTTGGAAACAAAGGGCAACAAATAAGACCCCACTCACTGAAACCATCTAGCTCCATCCCATGAGCTTTCAATAATAAAGTCTGTTATTCCCCAATAGTTAAATAGATTAAGCCGCAAAGCAAATACCGCCTTCTGCATTATGTTTCGTATTTGCTAATTGCAGAACGGTTCAACAAAAGCAAGGAGACGATCCTTAAATCTGCACGTTAACGATATACCCGGACAAGCAAGGTCGCTCGCACTATCCAGCTAAGGAATCGTGGCTGCCGTCATCCAGGCACATGAAAACACTGCAAAACGCCCTATTCAGCACGTTTCTGCAGGGGGGCAGTGTTCAATCTTCCGATTAAAATGATGTGCGCACCCTAATACTATATCGGCTTCATAGTTGCCTTCTCCCTGCTATATGTTGGCTACTGCAAAAAGAAAGCGGAGAAAGGAAAACACTCCGATATCAACCGTCTAACCGAGCGCACACGGGAAAACGGCCACCACAGAATCACATCCCGGACGTAATTAACACACGTCACCTCACCCCAGCGAAGCATCAGCATGGGTTCCGTAAAGTGCATAGCACAACAACAGCACTTAACGCCATAAACACTCAGATAACTCGATGCCTTAACCGGAACCGCTCCTGTGAGAACTATTCTAGTAGCGTTGGACCTGTCCATGGCGTTGGACACTGTCATTCATTAAACGCTACTAGAAGATATAGAGGCCTCCTCACTCCCACAGGGCCTCAAACGGTGGTCGGCGAATTACCTGAGTGGTCGACACAAAACCAGCAAGCCACGTAAAATTAAACAGGGTTGTTGTTGTTGTAGCGGTTACCAAGCCCCGCTCGGGTCGGTTCATCCGTCAACGTATTTGTCCGTTTCAGCTAAGGGGAGGCCCAGGAAGTGTGCGACTTCGACTGTCCATAAGGACAGGGGCGTCAGATGGGTGGGGTTCTCAGGGCATGTGAAGAGGTGCCGAGAGTCATGTGGCGACTCTCCACATGCCGGGCATTGGTTGGGCACATCCTCCTTAATTCTGCTCAGGTATGAGTTAAGCCTGCTGCGATAGCAGACAAAGTTCTGTCCCGTCCACGTCCGGTGATTGTGTGCCTAGAACGGCATTCACAGGGCGGGAGTCTACATAACTCGAGACTGTTTCCCTGTGAATGCCGCTCAGGGCCTGTCGGTAGGATGACGGGTCCAGAGGTTGTTTAATGGTGTCGGGGCGTCATCAGGAGGCAACCGGTCGCTGTTCGTAGTGCCGGGGAAACCTGCCAACAAAGAAGATTCGTATCGGCCGATAACACTCCTTTCCCCGCTAGCGAAGACACTCGAAGCCTTGCTGCTCCCGTATTTCACAATCCACCTGACCCCAGCGAAGCATCAGCATGGTTTCCATAAAGTGCACAGTACAACAACAGCACTTAACGCCATAAATACTCAGATAACTCGTGGTCGTGGCGTTTGACACCGTCTGCCATTCCACGCTACTAGAAGATATAGAGGCTTCCTCTCTCCGACAGAGGCTCAAACGGTGGTCGGCAAATTATCTGAGTGGTCGACACTCGTCGGTAATGTTTAGAGACAAATCGAGTAAACTCAGAAAAATAAAACAGGGGGTTCCACAGGGTGGTGTCCTTTCCCCGCTACTGTTTAACTTTTACATTTCAAAGCTCCCTCAACCACCAGAGGGAGTCTCGATTGTCTCTTACGCCGACGATTGCTCGATCATGGCGACTGGGAATGGAATTGATGACCTGTGTTCGAAAGTAAACGGGTATCTCTCCGATGTTTCTCGCTTCTTCACTGCAAAGTGTCGGTCAGGCTACCGCTGGGAATTCTCGTCGATAACACACCAATTCCGACGGTGAATATCCCCAAAATACTCGGAGTAACATTCGACAGCCTGCTCTCCTTCTCTGCGCAAGCAACCGCTATTGTCAATAAAGTAGAGAGCCGTAACAAGGTCCTCAAGTCGCTAGCCGGCAGTACTTGGGGCAAAGACAAAGAAACGTTGCTGGCAACATACAAGGCAATAGGCCGGCCGGTTTTAAACTACACAGCACCAGTGTGGTCGCCGGGGACTAGTAGGACGCAGTGGACGAAGCTACAGACTGTACAGAACACCGCACTCAGGACAGCGACCAGATGCCTCCTGATGTCGCCAGAAAATCACCACCACAACGAGGCACAAATACTCCCAATAAAGGAGCACAACATAATGCTCTGCAAGTGGCCACCCGAACAGACAGCTGCTTGCAGAGGAGCCCTCGCCTAGGAACGTCAGGAGGCATCTATACGAACTGAAGGACGAAGTCCAGAGGTTCATCAAGCAGCCTCTGGACCCGTCAGCTTACCGACTGGCCCTGAACGGCATTCACAGGGAGTCAGTCTCGTGTTATGTACACTCTAAACCTATGAATGCCGTTCTAGGCACACCACCACCGGACGTAGACGAGACGGAGCTTCATCTGCCTCGGGAGCCACGAACAACAATAGCCCAAATTCGATCTGGCTACTGCAGCAGGTTAAACTCATACCTGAGTAGACTGAATGCGGATGTGCCAAATGAGTGTCCGGCATGCGGAGAGACCCCACATGACTCGAAGCATCTCTTCGCATGCCCGGAAAACCCGACAATCCTAACGGCTGTGTCCCTGTGGACCGACCCGGTGGAGGCTGCACGCTTCCTAGGGCTGCCGCTAGTGGAACTTTACGACGACTGAGATATCAACCGATCTAGGCGGGGTTGTTGTAGCCGCTACAACAACAACAGGCACCCTCCCCATTAAGTATCCGGACATTCAAATCGAGGTACGTTTAAACGGGTCTCATCCGATCCTTTGTCTCTCTTGTTCACTGGGAGTGGTTTTTTACGTTGCGGGTCCCAAACCCATTGCTGGGAGGGGGTGGTTTTTTATCTGAACCGCTTGGAGTCGCACCTACTGGTGAACAGACGCTGCAGATTTCAGTGAGCCCTTAAATTGAATATTACGGAGTTGCACCACCGAAGCTCCCTTTCTTTCTGCCGTGACCCAAGGCTCGATTTGGTTGCCGCATCCCGCACATGGGTTGCTCACGTTACCCATAGTGCGCGAATGAGGACACAAAGAGTCGGGATTTAATATAGCCGTGAAATTGTAGCTGTATACATAGAACAACGACTATACCACATTGCACCTATTTTTATTAGCCCCTTTTATGAGTTGCATTCGATTTCGCTGGTTATCGAAGATCGAATGTGAAATTTCGTACCGTGTCAAAATTTTCATTGAGTATCGAATTTTATGTCGAACAGAATTTTGCTTTCGATGGTGTAGCGAAGTGATGGAAAATTGTGAAAAATGTATGGTTTGGCATTTGTTTTCTTACTTTTTGGCGGCTAGACACTAATTTTAAAAAATGTTTATTAATTTCATGCAGTTCAAACCTCGTAAATATTAAACACAACTTCGAAAGGCTGGTTTTACTTATGAAAGCAAATCCTAATACTCAGTTGGCACGATCTCTGAGAATCAAATCGTAGAGCTGTTGATAGTTTTAAAATATTTTTAATAGATTTGGCTCACAAACGCCTCTTTAGACAGTCGGAAGTTTTTAATAAATCTAGACGAATTTCTTAAATATGTATATAGTATGTCAAAATAGTATATTCGAAAGACTACACTTAAACTCTCTTAAACGTTTTCTACCCCTGGCCAGTTGACTACGCTCTCATCCTCTGACGAATCGTCGAACCAGAGCTCCGTTGTACTAATTTTTAATAAGTTTTTTTAAACTCGCTTTCTTTTTTACTTCATTTTAATTTGCACAAGTTTACATAAATATGTAAGCACACTATTGTGTTTGCCCGATTTGTAAACAAAGCTTCTCAGCGGTGAAAAATATACTATTGTGAACAACCTAAACGAGCTAAATTCACAATAGCGCTATTCTTCATCGAATGAGCGTCATAATACCAAATTAAAATTCGTTCAATCAGCACTTTCGACCACAGTCGAAGATCGAATGCAACTCATAATAGGGGCCATTGTATTAACGTTAAGACTTTATTTTTTTAAGTCTCACGTAGATTTACTGCATACATTTTATTGAGTGTGTATTTGAAGTTATTTTTTATTTGATTTTCAGGTTTGCTGTAAAGACCTCTGGTATTTAGAAGCAACAAGGCCACTGTATGCAGTTAAAGTTGGTTTGGTTCGTGCGTCTACGCATGCTTTAGAACTATGTTGGACGGCTACAACATTTGCGACAGCATATGAGTTACAAACACAAAAGATTGAGCCATCAACTATAGCGACTAAAGTTGTAACACCATCATCAATTACTCCTAGTGCCTCATCTACGTCAGTTGCCACGAATCAAATATCGACGAATGGACTGCCCCCCAACACAATTCAACCTTCCCCAGTATTGACTACCACAACTACGAAGCATCAAAAGATACACAATGCAGCACTTCCTTCGGTTTGTTTACAACAATCTACCACAAAAGTGCTGAATAATCCTATTATACAGCAGCAGCAGACTCAGCAACAATCACAATCTTCCCAGCAGCAAACCCATTTGCAGGGCGCAACCATTTATATAGCACAACAACATGTGCCACAAACACAACAAATCGGTCAAATCAAAGCGAATATTGTATCTTCTGCGCCAAGTATTGCGGAGAATACATTATCGGCTACACGCATATTAAACACATCAACGCCGACAATAGTAAATTCTAGCACACAGGTTAGTGCCACTTTGGTAAATGTATCGCAGCAGCAACCAACTGTTTCAATAGTGAATAGCAATATAACTACTATACTACAAAAGTTCCGACCAAACACTGTTGTGGCTCGTACTTCGGCCGTAACAACACCAATTAATACAGGCACGATTGCGGTATCATCTGCTGTGCACTCAAATGCTGGTGCTTCGAATCTACGTGTTGTAAGTGCAGCTGGGATACCGGTAACAACAACAGCTCCAGCCAATACTGTAAGAATTGTATCAGGAAATACTGGACAGACCTTACGTCTAGCTACCTCACATACCACGGCCAACACTACTGCTACTATATTAAAAACTTCTCAAACTATAGGAAATACAATCGCTGGACAAATACAAAACAGTTCCGTTGCAAATGCAGGAAATTCCATAGCTACCGCCACAACAATTGGTGGCAAGCAATATATTATACAGAAACCTTTAACATTAGGCTCAAACGTACAATTTCAATTGGTTAAAACCAGCACTGGAGGCGTGGCCGTTCAAACACTGCCAAAAATTAATTTAAATTTGGCTAAAAATACCGGTACTTCAGGAACATTAGCTGCCGTTGGGAGTCAGCAGGTTTCGGCTGGCGGACAAATTGTAACAGCAACTCAAGTAGTCGGTAGCACTGCGGGCTCACAACCCCAACAGCAGTTCAATGTGAATTGTAGTACATCTGTTGCTAGTACAGGTTCTACTAGCGGCCAGCAAAAACCGCTGGTATCTGGCAATCTTGTAAAATTGGTTTCACCGCATACCGTTAGCGGCGGAAAGTTAATAATGAAAAATTCTAATATTCTCCAGGTGGGAAAAGTTTCTTCTAATGTTGCTGGTAAACCTGCATTTGTTATCACCAACAAGCAAGGGCAGCAGTTAACAAATCAACAGATTATAATTGTCACCACTGGTGCTGGTATACGAACAATACCCGCATCGAGTGTTATGACTCAAGCTGGTGCTGGTAGCATCGTTTCAATAGTGGGTTCGACATCGACCACTGCTACAGTTGCAACTAACAGGAATGTGGTATCCACTCAGACCGGTGTCAAAATGATTCGGGGAGTAACTAGCACAACCGGTCGACCCATTACTTTAACACTACCTTCAACAACACAATTGTCACAGCAGCAGCAACATGTAACCAGTCAACAGCATCAGCAAAAAGTGAGTGTACCATCTTCAAACGTTCAGCAAAAAACTATAACACTGGGCGGTAAGGCAGTAACGGTGCAGATGGCTTCTAATCCAAATGTGACTGGAATGGCTAAAACTGTTACGATTGTTGGTTCAAGTTCTGGACATACCCAACCCCAAACCATTGTTACCAGTGGCATTGCTGGCAACACAGGTAGTAAGTTAGTAATGCTGCCTTCGAATACAACTACAGTAAATAAAAAGGGTTTCGTAAATATTTTAAATGCTAGCGGTACAAGTAATACCAGTGGAAATACCATGCAGCGCGCAATTAAATTGACATCGAAAAATGTTGTGGGTGTAACAAATTCGCAAATTGGCATCGCGACGCATGTCAACAATGATGGGTCAAATGAAGCGACCGTTGCCATAGCATCATTGACAGATCCGAATTATGCAGAAGGTGACACTATGGACGATATAATCGAGCAACTAGATGGCGCCGTAGGCTCTTTCGTTGGTTATGATCATGTGGAAACCGAAGATATAGATGATGGGTCTGCAAGTATATTAGCCCCAGTAACGATGAATGACATTGGCGATGAAGCTAAGGAAAAAAATAAATGCAGCAAATTCAACAAGTACGAGGGAAAATGCTTAAGAAATGAAATTTTTAATTTTTATACCGGTGACATCAGTTCATCGTTCGAACCCGATTCGAAAAAAACGAAAGATGATACATTAAGTTATATTAACGGGGGTAGTAAAACCGAGTTTGGTCAAGAAGATACTCGTATACCTGTTCCAAATTTGCATTTTACCAATAAAAGCGTTCAGCAAGTCTCAACATCTAACCACGTTACCAACTGTGTAAGTAAAGAAAGCGGTGAAAGCCGATTTCCTGAGAGTTTTCTTACGAGTCCTTACTACTTTTATTTGTATACTTGTAGCATAAACCACAATATCCCCATGTAGGCTGTGATTCGTTAGTAGCGCAACCGCAGTATTTATACATACTACCAGCTTATAATAACGCCCAAGCTCCTAAGTTTCCAGATACTTCAAACTCATTTTGTTGAAATAATGTTTGTTAAAACAACAGGTACGTATCATATTCAAATCTTGAAATAATTGTTTTTGTAAGAGCAAAGAAGCGCATCTCTAAAATGAATAGGGGAATGATGTAACCAGTCCTTAGACCTTAGATTAAAATATATCTTGGCAATCACTCTTGTAGTTATTGTAATTTGTAATTTATTTCAGTCATATGAAACAGACATTCCTTACAGACTAAAGCCAGAAATTAGGTACTTAAACGATACGTGTAAAACATAAAGCACTCTACAGTTTCGAGATCAAAGAGAAAATAAATAAACTTTATGGAAGAGAAAAATCAAGTTCGATAGAATTCGAGATTGTGTTGAATTCACTCTTGAAATAGGAGCGTTTCTAGCATACTCTGTTTTACAATTTCCGCAATAAAAAGGCATAGGATTGCAAAGAATCCTTTGAGGAACATTGAAGTTGACCTGCTCTAGGACGGTAGGGCAATCGATCACACCATTTATTAAATTAAAAGTAAAAGTTAAGAATATTAGCCAAAGTGGATCATAAATAAGATTTTTAGTAATAACTCAACTCCAGCGCCAACTGTCGGTTGAAATTGTGAAACTACACCATCCAGAGAGCCACTCAAAAGCACACAAAAAACTTCGATAAAACCGGTTCGGGAATTTAGGAGAATTTCACTCACAAACACACAGAAGAATTATATATATGTATACGTTTGTACGGAGCCACGTCCTCTTTTCAAATAGCCAATTTTTCTCCATGAGTATAAGATTGATTTCATTTGCGCCGTGCCAAGTTCCGGTATTCTACCATGAACACTTCCAGAGATATGCAGTATGAAAAATTCGGCTTGCATGGGAGGTGGCACGTCCCATCTTCCAATAGCTCCAATTTTTCTCCAAGGATATGCGATTGATTTCACATATCTCTATACCAAGTTCTGAGTACTGACTCTACCATGAACATTTTCAGAGATATGTAGTATGAAAAATTCAGTATGTATGGGAGGTACCAAGCTCCCTTTTCCAATAACCCCAATTTTTCTCCATGAGTAGGCGTATGTAGCCCATATTTTTCCAGGAATATTAGATTGATTTCATATATCACAGTACCAAGTACCAGTATTCTACCATGAACACTTCCAGATATATGCAGTATGAAAAAAATCGGTTTGTATGGGATGTGCTACGCCCCCTTTATATATCGTTTTTTTTTCGCTATAACCATCCTTGGGACGTCTGAAACATCGAAATGAAATTTGGAAAAAATCGGTTCAGCCGTTCTCGAGATTTGCGAACACATAAAAAACAGCTTTCAAAATATATATGTATTAGTATAGAAGATTGGTATAAATCTAAATAATTTTGAATATGTATCACAGTATGTATCACATAGGCTACCAACTGTTTAAAAGGTTAAATTCAAACTATTCAATAATTTAAATGAATTATTACTGTTACGTTTTCGACTGAAGATTAAATATAATAAAACACGAGAAATATGCAGTGTGAAAATTGCGCTCTTTATTCTTTTGTCGCCTAGTCTCGTCTGATGCACGTGCGCACCTGTCAACGTCATATCCTGTTTTTTTTTAGAGTTGCTTCAGATATTGTCATTACAGGGTGCCTCGTCGTATACTACACTCCTTCCCATTTAGCACGGTTCAAAACGTCGTGGTGGTCTCACATGGCGGCCCGATCGCGTAACTGTATTTGCCTTGCTGCTCTGCTGTGGTGACGTCTTTGATTCAAGATTGGGGATC